ACAGGTCTGAAGAAGACTCTCAAAACAACGAAGAATAAAATGTCAAAGAAAATGAAACTTTCGAATTAAAGCAAAATGATTGTACAACACCGGGTGTTTCAACTCTGTTGGTTTTCCCTACTGGTCTGTCTCTCTTCTTTCTTCATGAAGGGTCTAAGAGTGGCCTCGTTAAATATAAATGGGGGTAGAGATGTAAAAAAGAGAACTATCATATCAGACATAATCGCACAGAAAATGTTGGATGTAGTTTATTTACAGGGAACACATACTGATGGCACAAATTCAATAGATTGGGACTTATGGTGGGGAGGGCAGCAGGTCCTTAGCCATGGGACCAATCTAAGCGCAGGAGTCGCCATTTTTTTTTCTGCTAAGCTGAAAGTCACTGTGACATCCAGCACGGAGGTGGTGAAGGGCAGAGTCCTTATGGTGAGAGCTGAAGTAGAGGGCTTCAGCTTCGTTTTCATTAATGTATATGCACCATCCCAAGGCTCTGAACGAGAAAAAACTTTTAAAAAACTGAGAGAAACACAAAATAATATTGGTACAGGAGAGTTTATTGTTTTGGGTGGGGACTGGAACTGCTGCACAGATTTCACATTGGATAGGACTGGAGAGGAGCCACATATTTCCTCCTCCTCTGTCCTGTCTAATGTTTTGAAACAGATGGACTTGGTTGATGTCTGGAGGATGAAACACCCCTCGCATAGACAATACACCTGGATCAAGATGTCAGATACAAGAGTAAGTGCAGCTAGGCTGGACAGGTTCTATCTGCCTGCTTCCTTTACTGCAGGAGTTTTTAGCTGCCAGATCCTCCTAGTGGGCTTTACAGACCATCACTTAGTTGTGATGGAGCTAGTGCTCTCTCCCACTGGAAGACCAAGAACTTTGTGGCGTTTTAATGTTAAATTATTAAATGATCTTGTTTTCTGTGAAAATTTTAAATATTTCTGGGACTATTGAAGAGCCCAGAAAGGTGACTTTCTCTCCCTGGCTCAGTGGTGGGAGGTGGGGAAGGCCCAGACCAGGGTGTTTTGCCAGGATTACACAAAAAGGGTCACAACGGGCATAAAGACAACAGTGCAGGGCCTAGAGGGCCAAATCAGAGACTTGGAAAATGCCCTACAGGGAGATCTGCAAAATGACTTACTGAGGTCCAAAAAACAGGAACTAAACTCTTTCCTTCAGGAGAGAGCCAAAGGGGCTCTTGTCCGAGCACGCTTCACCAGGCTGCAGGACATTGATGCACCTACCACCTTCTTTTTTAACCTGGAGAAGTCTGTCGCGTCAAGAAAACAGATGGTGTGTCTCCGCCTCCCCGATGGGAAGGTCACCGCAGACCCGGCAGAGATGAGGAGGCATGCAGTCAACTTTTATACTGACTTGTTCAGAGCGGACGGCTGTGATGTGGCTGCTGCTGAGAAACTTCATCAGGGACTTCCTCAGCTGACTCCAGGAGATCGAGAGGCGCTGGGTATGGATGTAACTCTTGATGAACTGTCTGCGGCGGTGTCTCAGATGGCACCAGGCAAGGCTCCAGGAATAGATGGTCTACCATCTGACTTTTTTAAACAACCTTCTGGACGTTTTTAAAGAGTGTTTTATGAAAGAGATGCTTCCAGCATCCTGCAGGTGTGCAGTTATTTCACTGCTGCCTAAGAAGGGAGATCTAGCCCTTTTAAAAAACTGGAGGCCAGTGGCCCTGTTGTGCACTGATTATAAAATCCTCTCCAAAGTCTTGTCCAATAGGCTGAGAATGGTTATCGACCTTTTAATTGGTGCTGACCAGTCATACTGTGTACCGGATAGGTCAATGTTTGACAATTTGTTTTTATTGAGGGATGTATTTGACATCAGCAAAATTTATGACATCAAGGTCGGTATCCTATCCATTGACCAGGAGAAGGCTTTTGACCGTGTGGACCATGGTTTTCTTTTTTCCACGCTACAGGCCTTTGGTGTTGGAGAGGGTTTTCTGTCATGGACGAGACTACTGTACCGAGACGCTTCTTGTGTGGTAAAGGTGGGAGGTGGGTTGAGTGCTCCAGTGCCAGTCAGGAGAGGGATCAGACAGGGATGCCCCATCTCGGGCCAACTGTACAGCATGGCCATTGAGCCTCTCCTTTGTCGGCTGAGGAGCAGACTGAAAGGGCTCTCCCTGCCGGAGCTGGCTCAGATGCCTCCTGTGGTCGTATCAGCATATGCTGACGATGTGAATGTTTTTATTTGTGATCAGGGAGATGTTCAGGAGTTGGAGGTAAGTTTGGCCCTGTAAGGGAAGGCTTCCTCTGCTAAGGTAAACTGGGGAAAGAGTGCAGCCTGCTTAGTGGGAGAGTGGTGCGTGGGGAGTGCTCCCGTTTTACCTGGGGACCTTAGGTGGGGTACACGGGGTCAGAAAAGCTTGGAATTTTTTTAGGGACAGAGGATTTTCAGAGGCAGAACTGGGAGGGAGTGCTGGAAAAGATGGAAGCCAAGTTGTATAAATGGAAATGGTTGCTACCTCACCTGTCCTATAGGGGGAGAGCTCTGATTGTAAACAACCTGGTCGCATCATCTCTGTGGCACAAGCTCATCGTGCTGGTGCCACCAACAGGCTTCCTGAAGGATGTACAGCGGCTTCTTGTGAACTTTTTCTGGTCTGGTCAACACTGGCTGAGGGCGGCGGTCCTGTATCTCCCTGTGGCAGAGGGAGGGCAAGGACTTGTGGACATTCTGTCCCGAACGGCGGCCTTCAGACTGCAGACTGCACAGAGGCTGTTATATGGATGCAGTCGCTGCTGGTTAGCTCCTGCTTGGCTGCTGCTCAGGAACGCTGGCCGGCTTGGGCTGGATAAACAGCTGTTTCTTCTTAAAACGTCCGAAGTAGACCTGACAGGACTCCCACCCTTCTACAGCTCGGTGATCAACGCCTGGCAGACACTGAAGGTCTCAAGAACTCCTGACCCTGGGCCAGGGATGTGGGTCTATGAGGAGCCACTTTTTAATAATGACTTCCTTAGGAATGCCCCATTGTCTTCCGCCCCTCTGAGGACTAAATTTGTTGAGGCCGGCATGACCAAACTGGGCCACCTGGTGAATAAGTCCATGGACACACTTGGTGATGTCATAAATGTCAGATCCTCAAGACTGAGTAGGATTGTGGAAGAAGTCTGGCAGTCCCTGTCTGGGCCCCTGAGAGACTTTGCCGGGAATCATGCTAACCAATGGACGGATGGCAGCATGTATGCTTTTCCGTCTCTGAGCGTCTGTCCGGCTGCTGGGGAGCGGCAGGAGGAGGATGGTTCACTTCTGACATGGAATACACCGGTGCTGGGCACATTCAGCTCCTGTGGAAAAAAGCAGCTGTATCTCAGCTGTGTGAAGGTGCTGAACCTTCACACGCTGGCTGGAGTGAAGGAGTCAAAATGGGGCGAGGTGTTTAGATCAGACATTACCCCTAAGGGCAGGTGGAGGATCCTGTACAAACCCCCTGTTGAGAAAAGGATGACGGATCTCCAGTGGAGGATGATACATGGATCAATAACCACGAACAGACACAGAGCTCACCTGGATCCAACGGCTTGGGAGGGCTGTCCATTCTGCACTCAAAGTGAAACACTGGAGCACTTAGTGGTGGGTTGTTTTCGGCTAGTTGGTCTTTTTAGAGTTTTAAAGGAATGGGTAGAAGCCCTGGGAGAGTCCTTCTCTGTCACTCTGTTTGTTTTTGGACCCAAATATGTAGTCAGGAGAAAACTGACATTGGTTTTAAAAAAACTTTTTACTTGGCGTAGCTAAACTGGCGATTTTGAAGACGAGGAAGCATCAGATGTTGGGTCGGGGCTGGACGGATGTGGCATATTACACATATTACACACTTACAAATAATCTGGAGATATTCAGGGCTCTGTGGGGGATCGGATGTGTTTTATGTTCACTAGAGGAAGGTGGCTCCCTGTTTCTTAAGTTTTGACCTAATTTTGTTTGTGCGGGTATGTGTGTGTGTAGTTACTCTATTTGAGTTTTGTTAAGATTGTGTATTCCTAATGTGTCATAAATAAAAAACGTTAAAAGTCAATTTCTCTATCTCTATCTCTCTCTCTCTCTCTCTCTCTCACCCTCTCGGTCATTCAACCCCCCCCCTGCTTCTGATTCTGCTCCATTTTATCCCTCCCTGTGTCTCCTAGTGCTGCTCTTGGTGGGAACTGTTGTCCTTTTGTGAAAAATCTCAGCTGCTCTGTTTGGAAAGCTGGGAAATGCTGTTGTTGTTGGGATTTGGAGCTACAGAAATAAAATTTAATTTAATTTTTTTTCAAATACTCAGGTTCTGGGCGATCCTACACAAGTCCCCATCCCGGAGGCAAACATCATTTGTCACCAGCAGAGATCACTTTCCACAGTTACTTGAAATTATGGTAAATACAGAGAGTTAGTGTTTATTGAGTCAAAGTGATAAAACAAACAGCTGACAGTTAAACACTGTTTTCATGCACCACCAAATCTCAAAATAAAACATCTCAGATGTGGATAAAAAAAGAAAATAAAGGCATTTGAATAGGGCCATAAAGTAGGAAACTCAAAATAATGAAACCACCTCCACACTGTTCTGCTTTGTGAGAAATCTGTGGAAGAGAAGTTAGTGGTTGAGTTGATAATCTGGGCTGGGATCCTTTGTGCATTTCTTTCTTTACAGTCTCTGATTGGACCTTATTCGTGTTGGCCATGTTGTTGTTTTGGAGTGGACTTTCCAGCAGTTTCTGAGCAACTTTCTTGTAAGAAAGTTGTAAGAAAGTTGATTGTAAGTCTTTTCAGCACATTTCCTCAGCCTGGGGCTCAGCAAGCACAAGATGGAGCTGCAGCATTTCACAGCTTAATTAACTTTTTGTGGCCACATTTTAAGTTGTGCAAAAGTCCCCGAGTGGCTGTAGAGCCCCCACCAGCCTCCATTGTCAGGGTTTGGGCCCCTCACCACAGCTTCAGCTCTCTGGAAAGGCAGGGGTCAACCTCCCTGAGAGCCTCTATCAGAGTTTTGCTGCTTTTTCATGTCCCTTCCTCATCACAGTATCAATCACATCTGGAGCTTTCTCTGCTCTGGACTTCGTCTTTGCGGTCTGCATCTCCTCATTAATCATAGCACCGTGCTGAAGGAGTTTATCCAGCAGCTGGTTCAGCACAGAATCAGAGACTCCATTAATGAACTGCACCCGGACAGCAGACAGTCTGTCCTTTGCTTGGAGTCCTGGGATATCCCTCTGTGAGGATTCCCGTCTGGGACCTTAAAGGAAAGTAGAGAAATGAACAATCAAATGCTGGTTTCTGCATTAATGTTGGCACAAGGCAGCGATGGCAGCTGGAGCTCCATGACAGCAAAGCTCATCAGAAATGGAGAACAAACAAAGGCTCCACCTTTAAAACTTTGTGGAGTCGGGCTCTGGTTTGGATTGAGAGTCGTCGGAGCACAAAGGCTCTTTTTCTGCTGGATCCTTCATCCTCACTACAAAGTTACACAGGAAGATTCACATTTTATTGTCCTTTTTTAGGAGAAAACATGAAAGATTATGTTTTTGGGACAGAAAATATCCTGCATGAGCATCTTTCCACAAATGTAATGGCAGCTGTAGGTTTCTCTGTCTGGTCTGAGTTCAGTCAGCTTTAAAAAAGACAGGAAAACCTGCAGACTTACAAAGACAGTAACCTCACAGATCAGAATCTTAAGTCAGACAGCTGTTGGCTGATGGTTTAAACGTGTTATCAGGCTGACATGTTTTAGGCCTAAAGACTCTGATCTGACTTTGGGTGGACTAGAGGAGTGACACCAGACAGCTGAACCTGGGAAGTCTGACGCCGAATGGCTTTTCTCCTCAAACACTGTTCAAAAATGCAAACACAAGAGTTTGAGGTTTTGATTCTTTGTGTTTTTCCAGAGGTTTAATCACAGTTAAAGAATGCTGGAGTTTGACTGGACTCAGACCTGAACCTGAACAGTTCCATCAAAGCTGAAGCTAAGACAGCTTTTTCCCTCTTCAAACTGCCCGATTAGAGCTTTATCCTGTTTGTGATCCTCTGCCCTCCAGAATCAGAGTCCAGTCCCCACCATTCCTTCTTCCTGCAGGTTGGACTTTTTTGGCAGAAATTCTCCACAGCGTGCCATCTAATGATCCCGACCCCCCCCCCCCCTGTTACTGCTGGCACTAACAGCTTTTGTCTCTGGAGGCTTTCTTCGTCCAGCTATTAAACCTGTAGAGCAAACACAAGCAGAGAGAGAGAGAGAGAGAGAGAGAGGCTGCAGTCAGTCACTGTCCCATCATTCCTTCAGGAATAACTAGTTTATCTTCAAAGACGCATCAAAGTTAAGTAGCCCGAGGAGAAGAGTAAAAAACATTCTGTTAAATATTCTGACAGGAAATAACCCAAAATAAAACATTTAAGTCTCTTTGTTTAATAAAAAAAGCTATCTCAGTCGTCCATAAGAGCTGAGCATTACCACCAGGGGGCGCCCCTCTCTCCTCATTTCTTTGCATATTTGAGTGATAATTCCTATCATCAAAGGCTGAGATGAGTCTGTTTTTCTATGTTGATGAACAATATAACAGACAAATAGTCTAGTGTTCCAATGTACTTTCCCAATGACACATTAGAAGGTCAAAGCAGTTTCCTGTAGCTGGGAGAGTGATCAATCATCTGAATTATTGGTAAAAAACAGATGAAGTCATAGATAAAAGTCATTGTGTCCCCTGCAGGCTTAGATTGGTACTGCCTCTGCCTTTTTTTCTCAGGTTCATTTGAGTTTTGCACTTGGTTTTATATTTAAAACCCTTGTGGTTGATCTGCATACAGCTTCTTTCTTCCCCCATCCCAGCATTCATTTAAGAGCTGAATAAGATAAACAACTATGATCTAGAACAGTGGAACTGCTCAGGCTTTAAGCTCTGGGGACTCTGGAAGTAAAAAAAAACCCTGTCGCCACAGGATGTTTATGCACACACAAAATAACCAGAGGCTTTTTTATCTCTGCATAGTTAAGATTTCTGCTACCTGCAGGCCTGCAGAACACAAAGGGTGTTCAACCTGCAGCTAGAGGCAGGAAAAGAAAGCCCAGCTCCCCGTCTGCTGACCTCACAGTGTCCAGTCCATACTCAGGGCTGTCCACCAGAGCACACAGACTCTCCTCAGCTGGTTTTCCCAGGTTGTTTCCACGCAGGTCCAGTTCCACTAGGTGGGAGGGGTTTGACTTCAGGGCTGAGACCAGAGACCTGCAGCTGATCCCAGACAAGCTGCACCACCGCAGTCTGAGGAGAGCAAAGGACAATCTGGGTCCAATCACATTCAGAGTAAAGCCAGTAAAGACAGATGTTGCACACAGATCTGACGGTGGGTCCAATCACTTTCAGCTGGTCTCTGACAACCAGCAGAGCTCCGATCTGAATAAAGAACAAAAGCTGTGAGTTGAAGACTTTACAATTTAATGTCAGCACAGCTTTCAGCTCATCCTCTGATCTGAACTAACCACTAAAACCTGGAGTCTGACCTCAGAGTCTTCAGTCCACAGAGTGGACTCTGCAGAAAGCTGCTCAGCTCCTTCATCACACACTCAGACATGGGGTTCAGGCTCAGGTCCAGTTCTGTCAGATGGGAGGGGTTGGACTTCAGAGCTGAGACCACAGAAGAACAGCTGCTCTCTGACAAACTGCAGCCTTCCAGTCTAAGAAAGAACATATCATGTATATTAACCCTAACCCAAAGTAAATTTCCAACATTTGACGTCAAAGTTATAGAAAAATAATAAAATATAAAAAACAAATAGAAATAAATAGGCTAAGTTAGTTTAAAGTGCCTGTAGTAAAGTCAGAGTAAGTTAGGGTACATCCTGTATCTCAGTCTCCACCTCTACCTCCGTTCTCCAAAAAGTGCCTGTAAAAACCCTGTTTATTGATTATTTCTTTATAACTTATTATTATTTTTACATCTCTCTTATATAATGTATTTGTTTTATTGATGTGTGTGATTATCTCCAGTATTTATTAAGGAGTTATTGTAGGTTTTTGGGACCAATTCTAGGAATTACAGTTTACTCTGAAGGGAACTTGAACTAACATACCAATGTTTTAACATAGAAGTCGGTCCTGGAGTCATGTGACGCACTTGGCGAGTATGGCTGCTTGAGAGTGAACTGCACTTTCCCCCGTGTATATTTTGTGCCCAAAACACAACAAGGAGTCTTGAAATTTGCGCTACAATATTTTGGATAATATTTTTTCGTCGCTACCATGCCAAACGTCACCAGAAACTCTGCTAAACCTGCCGGGCTGGTGCGAACAAGGCGTGCGAAACAGCTAGTGCTAATCAAGCTAGCCAGAAAGCAGCGCCATTGCGTGATGACATTGAGGAGACTGAGGCGGCGGCAGCGAGGCACATTCCCGGTGACGTGGCTAAGGAGTTACATAAGCTCTCAGCTTTTATAGTGGAGGAGTCTGATGGCCAAGATAAGAAACTGGAGGAAATACGGATTAGCACAAGCGCTACGGAGAGTAAGATAGCTGACATAGCTGATCGGATTGGTGAGGTCGAGAACCGGCTGTGCTTTTTGGAAGATGAGCACGAGAGGCGAAAGGCTAACCCGGCGGCCACTGCTGATGAAGTTGCGCTACTCCAGCAGAAGCTAGACATTGAAAACAGAGAACGAAGGAATAATTTGCGCTTTGTAGGATTTCCTGAGGGCTGTGATGATCATGATGCTGTGCATTTTTTGGAAGAAACCATACCAAAGATCTTTAACCTGGATTTCCCAAAGGGACTGGAAAATGAGAGGGCACACAGAATCGGAGCTCTGCCAAAGAGGTACGACGGTGACCAGCCTCCGCGAGCGAGACCGCTTATTGCTAGATTTCTGAGACTTACTTGGCGGTGGCAAGGTGAGCACGGCTTTGATGTGCTTTATGTAGTATTTGGTTTGAATTTTTGAGTTTACATTACATGTACTTTTTCGTCTGTGTTGTGGGTCTGATCTGAAATGACATACTGATGGTGGCGACTCTTGGTAGACTCTTTGTTGCTGTTTTATTGTGCATTCTGTTTTATATCTATCTTGTGCAGTACCAATTAGTAATAACAACTTGAGCTTTATGAGCTTGAACGTCAAGGGCCTTAACAATGTTGTTAAGAAAAGGAAAGTATTGTCTTTTATAAAATCTAAAAAATGCGATATTGTCTTTGTCCAAGAGACACATCTTTCGCCTCAGGATTCTCAGAGGCTTTGTGGGTGCAGCCAGTGGCAGTAGCAAAAGCAGAGGGGTGGCAACGCTGATTAGAAAACACCTACAGTTTAAATGTCTCAAACAAAGCAAAGATGACGTTGGGAGGATGTTGCTGATGCTGTGTGAAATTCAAGGGAATACTATAATCTTGGCCAATGTATATGCTCCGAATATTGATGATCCAACATTTTTTGGACAAATTGAGAAAAGAATAATTGATATGGGAGACTATCCAGTTATTTTGGGGGGTGATTTTAATGAGGTTATGGACCCACTACTAGGCCGAAGCTCTAAACTGGTACGGGTTTCTAGGGCCCACACTGCTCTTAAGGGGATGTCTGAGGCATGTGCTCTAATAGATGTTTGGCGGTTGCAGAATCCTTCTGGGAGGGAATATACCTTTTTCTCTTCTCCCCACCACTCCTCGAGAATAGATTTTTTTCTGGTGTCTCAATCACTGATGTCGGCTGTTGCATCTAGTACTATTGGCAACATAATTCTCTCAGACCACAGCCCTGTCTACCTCCATATGTTTGCTTTCAATGCTACCATTAGGACCCCTAGATGGAGACTGAACTCCAACTTTCTATTAGATGAAACATTCAAAGAGTTTCTTAGGTCTCAAATTAACCTGTATATAGAAACCAATGTGCTCAGTGCCCCTTCAGCTGGAGTGGCATTTAAGAGGACACATTATTCAGTATGCTTCCTTTAAGAAGAGAGAGAGCCTTTCAAAGCTCCAGGATTTTGAACAACAGATTGCGATCACTGAATTTAGTTTTAAAAGAAACTCCTCTTTTTCAAACCTGAACAAATTGACCAAATTTAAATATGAATTTAATGCAATACGGTCACAAAAAGCTGAATGTTCGTATATCGTGTGAGACGGAAGTATTTTGAAGAGGGGGATAAAGCAGGCAGGCTCCTGGCAAGATATATCAAGCAGAGGGAGGCCCTGAACACTATCTCAGCCATTAAAGATGGTAATGGACACCTCCTTTTTGAGCCCAAGATAATTAATACAGTATTCAGTAACTTCTATATGGACCTGTACAGCCCGGAGTCAAATGCTTCAGAGGAATGCTATAAGAAATTTCATGCTACCTTTAAATCTTCCCAAAGTCCCAGCCGATCAGCTTAAGTATCTGGATTCACCCATTACTATTGAGGAGTTAGTTGGGGTTATTAAACATCTTCCTTCAAGTAAGGCTCCAGGTTTAGACGGCTTTACAGCCGAATATTATAAATCATTTCCTGAAGAATTGGCACCTTTACTCCTAAACACCTATAATGAAGCCTATCAAATGGGCAGGCTTCCACCTTCGCTGTCAGAGGCCATTATTACGCTCATTTTGAAAAAAGGTAAGGACGCTTCCGATTGTAAAAGCTACCGTCCAATAAGTTTGACCTCTTATGATGGTAAAATTTTATCTAAAGTTGTGGCCAATCGATTAAATCGAGTTATAACCTCGCTCATTCATGCGGATCAGGTTGGATTTATTCGCTCGCGCTCCTCAGCAGATAACATTAGGCGACTGATTGACATCATGTGGGCAGTTCAGGATAGTCAATCTCCTGTGGCTGCTATCTCGTTGGATGCCGAAAAGGCATTCGACAGAGTTGAATGGCGATATTTATTCACAACTCTGGAATGCTTTGGCTTCAGCAAAAGCTTTATTGACTGGATTTGGCTCATATACGTCCACCCCAAGGCTTCGGTACTTACAAATGGTATTATAGGTCCCTCATTTGAACTAGGTTGCGGCACCACGCAGGGGAATCCTCTTTCCCTCCCTTCTCTTCGCCCTTGCCCTTGAACCATTGGCAGTTGCTATATGCAGAGAGCCCACAATTCCAGGTGTAAGCGTAGGGGGTGATTGTCATAAACTTATGCTGTACGCCAACGACATTCTTCTTTTCGTATCGGACCCAGAGCATTCCTTTAACTCTCTGTTCACAATAATTAACACTTTTTCAGATATATCTGGCTATAAAGTAAACTGGACCAAGTCGGAGGCCCTACCTCGGACTTATTACTGCCCTAAGACCCTTTTTCCAACTGGCATGTTATTTTGGCCTCAGAAAGGCATAAAGTATCTTGGTATTGTCTTCCCACTGCTGTTGTCAGACTTAATAAAAATACATTTTGAACTGCTATTAAGTGGGATGAGAGCTGATGTTGACCGCTGGAGTCAGCTTTATCTCTCTATGTGGGGGAAGGTAAACATTATAAAAATGGTCTGTACACCCAAGCTTAACTATTTGTTACAAGCTCTACCTGTCCATGTTCCTTTGAACTATTTTAAACAATTTGATCAGCTTTGTAATTCATTTATTTGGAGCAATAAGAAACCTAGACTTAACTTGAAAAAGCTACAGAGACCAGTGGATAAAGGTGGACTTGGGATGCCTTATTTACTCCATTATCACTATGCTTTTTCTCTCAGGCACCTGGCACATTGGTTACCCCCTGAGAAAGCACCCCCCTGGTTCCACCTTGAGAGCATGGCTAGTTTACCCTTTACACCACTATCAACTAATATTGGCCCTATTAACCAGTCACACCCTATTCTCTCTCACTTGAAAGGAGTATGAAACAAAATGTTAAAAAAAAAAAAAATTTGACCCCCACCTCAACCGGTCTGCTGGTTATTGGCATAATCCCAAACTCTGCATAACAAAGTCGCCATTTTTTTGGAAGACTGTGGAGGACGCACTGTCAGTCACATCAACTAGTGTCTGTGGATCTATGTTTTGTTGTTTTAACCATTCATTAACATTAACAAGGAATTCATTATACAGTATCTAGCCATATTAGGTTCATACAAATCAAGGTTTTCACTCTCTTTCACATCATCAGACAACAAATCTTGAGTAGACTCATGACAGAACTTAAAATCATTCAATATTGTGTGGAACGCAGCCACTTCCCTTTTCACATCATCAACATCAACATTCTCACACATTATAGCTCTGATCTAATTCATTTTGCGAGTGCTTTGCCCAAGTTTACCACGCCGAGTAGCGCTGAGCGCTTTGAAAGACAGCTCGCTTTTATAGCCTTGCTCTTCCAAGCCTGTGGCCTCATTCTGGCCGTCTTCATCAGACATGATCTCAGTTTATTTTAAGTCTTTAGTTTAAATTTGTTTCATGTCTTACCAAAACAACGTCAGTATTCAACAGTTCAGTTCCGTTTATTACGCGCATTCATTTAGTTTCATTTGCACACATCTAAGCGCTTAAACTTAATTCTTTTTTGTTGCAAGCATGTTTGTTTCCTTTCAGTCAGCGATTCAAATAACGGCCACAAAACACAGTCTATTTGATCGTATTAACATTGTCCAACGACATTAAAAGTGTTGGCTTCCAATAAACACGTCGGCATTCGAAACGTTAATCCACAAACAGACAATATCCGACTCTTCGGGACAGTTTTTCAACTTAATGTAGCGGCAACTTCGTAGCCACCGCTTCAGAGTAGAAGTATAGATCAGATCCAACGCGCGTCTTCGAAAAATAGGGGCATTTATTTGTCTTTAACTAACATACGAACGTACAAACAAAAGCGCTCCCGCATCACGCGGTTGAAAAACTGTTTGTCCCTTCCACTCTACCTGACCAGCAGGTGACGGCACCTATTAATCAAATCAGCTCAACGTCACGCCCACCAGACAGGAAGAGCAGCAAATAAACATATCAAAATGAAAACAGACATATTTCCAACTAAAGATTCAAAACTAAATCAGGAGAATTAGAATGCAAATAACTTCATGATAAATTAGGAAAAAAACAAAAGAGATGCAAAACGGCTCCAACACCTGGTATCAGAAAGGTATAAAATGTTGGGTGATTTATACGACAACAATGTATTGAAATCTTTTGAAAAACTCGCACAATACTTTAATTTACCCCGACAGGATTTTGGGAAATATTTGCAATCACGACATTTGATGGTAAATACATTTGGCTCACCCACAAAGCCCCCATGGTGCTGTGATACTCTGGAGCACATTAAAAATGTTTTCGGACGCGGACATGAGGCCTCAGTCTATTATAAAATATTACTGTCATCTTCAGATCTCAATATGCTGTCCCTTAAAAGTGCCTGGGAAACTGATTTGAATCTCTGTTTTACAGAAGAGGAATGGAATTAAATTCTTGTGAATATGACAAAATTGTCACGAGAATTACGGTCTAGATTGGTCCAATTTAAAATCCTGGACCGCATATACTGGACACCTTCTAGATTGCATAAAGGCTCCAGTTCACCCCGCGACCCCATGAGGGAATAAGCGGTATTGATAATGGATGGATGGATGTCCTAAAGTTCAAGTGTATTGGTCCTCTGTTCACACTGTTGTGGAGAAAGTTGTTGGTCAGGGCATTCCCTTTATTAACAAGCTTTATGTACTGGGAGATCCTTCAGTTTTGAGTTATTTGCCCTCTTCTCTTGCACAGTGGGTACAGACAGCCATCATAACTGATAAACTAATCAACAAAAATCTGTTTTTCAATCCCTTTAAATTATAAATGTACATTTCAGCATTAGATTTAAAAAGATCTGACATTATTCTGTTACCTGATTTATTGTCAAAGTCCATTACTTCTCTAAATAACCTGAATATTTAGACATGCTGAAATCAGCAAGAGTTAGTAAAGTAAGTCTGTGCCTCATTCAGCTTGAAATATTCCAGATGAAAGGAAGAAACAACATTTAATTGTTTGCTAATTCTAAACATTACAAGTTGAATAGAAATATTTAACTTGTGAAAAAAAGGAGGGGTTGTGAAAATATTTATTTTGAGAAAAGAAGATAAAAAGTCTGAATGACATCTTTTGAAGCTAAAAGCTGAGTGGAACTGAAGCTCCACGTCCAGAGTGAGAAAACATCTGCAACCAGCAGCCCCAAAGCCCCCGGATCACACAGCCTCATCTCTACTGAACAAAGATGTCTCAGAGGAGCTCACAGAGCAAGTGAAGGCCTCTGTGTTTACAGGCTCGTTTCTCTAAGTTAAACCTTGTTTTCAATCCATGGAAGAGAGAAAAATGTCTGTTGGAACATGTGGCAGAGCTCTGCAGCTTCTTTAATCATTTTAACATGGAAATACATCATTTAAACCAAACCCTCAGCATGTTTCCAATCAGGTCTAGTTCTTTCAGATGGGAGGGGCTGGACTTTAAAGCAGAGGCCACAGCTTCACAGTCAGTCCCTGACACTCCACAGTCTGCAAGTCTGTGATAGAGAACATGGAAAGTCAGAGATATACCACATAAACACCACACAGAAAGGCCCCCAGTCGAAGTTCAAACCCCACCCTGTACAGGATTTGTTACTGGAGTCCATTTGTGAAGCCCCCATCAACTCCACAGTAAAGGAAACAGAACCAGTCTCAGTCAGTTCTTCACTATTCCTGCTTCAGGTCCAGCTGGAACTCCAAGCTGCAGCCTTCTTGCTGTGAGGGGACAGCGCTGACCAGCTCACAGCTTCCACATGTCTGCATCATGTCCTCTGTGCTCTGCACAATGTTCTCCCACAACCCCTCCCTCCCTTTTCCAGAGGCCTCATCTCCAACAGGAAGCCTCCAGCTGGGAATGGCCTGTGGAAAAGGTCCAGGTGGACTTTCTCCTCAGTGTGTTCATCTATAGAATCAGCCTGTGCTGCTGTCTACTCTGACTCATGGAGTCAGTCAGCATCTACTCACCGAGCCTTTCTGCAGTTCCTCACCGCTGGAATCAGTCTCCGTCGCCCCTCCTTTGTTGTGTTGTAGCTGTGTGGGTCCAACTCATCCAGAACCTCCTCTGACATCTGCAGCATGTAGGCCAGAGCTGAGCACTGGATCACAGAGACTTTCTTCTCTGATTTCCTCTTCGACTTCAGTAAGTTCTGGATCTCCTGGTAAAGTGAGAGGTCTTTGATTTCCATCAGACAGTGGAAGACGTTGATGCTTCTGTCTGGAGACATGTTTGTGTCCATAACCTTCAGGTTCTTGATAACCTTCTGGACAGCTTCTGGACTGTGGTCTGCTGGACCCACTAGGTCTGCTAAGAGTCTGTGGTTGGACTCCACACAGAGGCCATGAAGGAAGCGAACTAAGAGGTCCAGGTGGCCATTTTCACTTTTACAGGCTTTCATCATGACTCTCTTCAGGAAGTCCTGAAGAGATGAGTACTCATACTCTGTCCCCAAGAAGTTGTCCAGCCCATCTGTCTTCCTGCTGTAGCAGTGGAACATGTAGACTGCAGCCAGGAACTCCTGAACGCTCAGATGAACAAAGCAGTAAACTGGCTTTTGGAAGATCCCACACTCTCTTTTGAAGATCTCTGTACAGACTCCTGAGTACACCGATGCCTCTGTGACATCCAGACCACACTGCTCCAGGTCTTCCTGGTAGAACAGGATGCTTCCTTTCTCCAGATGTTCAAAGGCCAGCCTCCCCAGCTTCAGAAGGAGCTCCCTGTCGGCCTCCATCAGCTCCTGTGGACTGGTCTGCTGGCCCTCATGGTACTTGTGCTTCTTCTTCTTGGTGTGAACCATCAGGAAGTGTGAGAACAGCTCAGTCATGGTGGTGGGCAGCTCTCCTCTCTGCTGTGTGGTCAACATGTCCTCTAGAACTGCAGCAGAGATCCAGCAGAAGATGGGGATGGCACACATGGTGTGGAGGCTCCTGGAGCTCCTGATGTGGGAGCTGATCCTGCTGCTCAGCTCCTGGTCCCTGAACCTCCTCCTGAAGTACTCCTCCTTCTGGGAATCAGTGAAGCCTCGTACCTCTGTCAGCCTGTCCACGCATGCAGGAGGGATCTGATTGGCTGCTGTGGGGCGGGAGGTGATCCAGAGCTGGGCCGAGTGCAGCAGGTCCCCCCTGATGAGGTTTGTCAGCAGCAGGCTGACTGGGGACTTCTGGGTGAGGTCAGTCAGGACGGGGCTGCTGGTGAAGTCCAGGGACAGCCTGCTTTCATCCAGGCCGTCAAAGATGAGCAGCAGTCTGCAGGCAGCCAGCTGCTCTGCTCGGAGCCCCTCTAATGCTGGATGGAAGAGAGCCAGCAGCCCCAGAAGGCTGTGCTGCTCATCTCTGAGCAGGTTCAGCTCCCTTAATGAGAGCAGAACCACCACATTGACATCCTGGTTCTCCAGGCCCTGGGCCCAGTCCAGCGTGAACTTCAGCACCGAGAAGGTTTTCCCCACACCGGCCACGCCGTGGGTCAGAACCACTCTGATGGCTCCAGGCTGGTCAGCTGAGGCTTTAAAGATGTCATGGCACCTGATTGGAGCGTCCTGGAGGCTCCTGGAGGCTGTCTCCAACTGCCTCACCTCATGTTGAGCTTGAAGCTCTTCACTCTGTCCCTGTGTGATGTAGAGCTCAGTGTAGACCCTGTTGAGGAGGGTTCCACTTCCTGCTCCATCAAACCCTTCTGTCACATGTTCACATCTCCTCTTCAGACTCAGCTTATGTTCCTCTAAGACCTGCTGCAGGCCAGCATCTGCTGAACGAAAAACAAAGAGGCCAAACAGAAAAAACAATCACAAACACACACAACACACAACATAGTTACCGCAACTTTAAAGGGGGGTGTGGAGAAGGCTCAGGGGAGCAGTGCCAGGGGTTGTGATTAAGCACACCTGGAACCAGGTCACACACAGTAGCGTGCTGTGACCAAAAAAAGGGTACACTGCCGACAAGCAGAAAAGCCTTGGCTGGGCGTGAGTGTGGGTGTGTGTGAGAGTGTGTGGCGTGTGGCACAAACACTCTGAATAAACCGTCTAACCAACCAAAATCTGGTCTGGAAGACTCTGTTGGGGCACCCACGGTGGCTGAACTGCCACAATTGACGCCCAACGTGGGGCTCGACTGGAGTACAGAGGTGGAGATGACGGGACCGCAGCAGGCCCAGATGATGGCAGACATGGCAGCGATGAGCCGGGAACAAGCGGCCCTGAGCTGGCAGCAGCTGGGGGCTCTGCTGGCTCTGTCGGAGCGGTGGACACTGCTTCTGGAGGCTATGGTGGAGAGGGAAGCAACACCACTCGGCTTGCGGGTGGCCGGAGGAGGAGTGGGCGGTGCGGCTGCTTCCCCTCCTATCGGGCAAGGCCCAGACGGCAGCGCTGGGTCTG